GCCTGCCACAACGCCTGACTATTTTTTGGTTGCAGCCATCATTGTTGTTTGGCGGGCCCAGGCTGGATTCGAACCCGCCACCTTAGGTGTATGTGGCTGGCTCCTTAGCCACTTGAGCCACAGGCGCCAAGCCAAGTCTTCAAATTCTTGAAGAGGGTTTGAAGCTGTTTCTGTCTCTGAAGATGGAAATGGTCTTTCCCCTTTACTCTGGGAGAAATCCCAGCTCTTGGGGGAAATCCTAAAACAGTGACATTACCCAGATGCATATTTCCCATATTAAGTTGTTTACTTTGTTTAGTAACAGTAATTAAACACGCAGCAGACATTAACTAAGGGCCGGGCTTTACGCTAAGCAAACACTTACCTTTATCTCTTTAAATCTTTTTTTTTTTTTTGCAGTTTCTAGCCAGGGCCAGATTTGAACCCGCCATCTCTGGTATATGGGGCCGGTGCCCTACTCCTTTGAGCCACAGGCGCCCCCCCTCCCCCACTTTAAATCTTTTTGACAACTGTCAACCTAATTCCATAGGTGAGGAAACTGAGGCCTGTAGTAGTTATGCAACTTATCCACCATCATACAGCAGCATCAGGATAATGTATATACTGTATTTTTCTATGTATAATGCACTCCCATGTGTAATGCACACCTATGTTTTTGGCACAAACTTTCAAGAAAAAAAATTTCATTTTAATTTTTTAATTCAAATCCAAAGCTTAAAGCCTGCAGTGTCAAAAACAAAACCACTGCAACATTTTCCAAGGGATTTTCCAATAACTTTTGTGAAACTATCAGCTGGATTGTTAGCTCCCATCTAAAGCGTACAAAGAGAAATACGTCAGTCTTTGTTGGCCGAAAAATACTTTTGTTGCAAGTTCATTGTAAATTCAACAAAACTTTTGACCATATTCCAGGGCATTATTTTGCATATTGCTTTCTAGGATAACACTTTTAATGCATATGCATAAATAAAAGAATTAAAAACACAGAATTAGTACTACCCGTGTGTGATGTACATTCTTACTTTTCCCTTGAAATTTTGGGCGACAGCGTGTGCATCATACACAACAAAATACAGTAAGTTGGGTGAATCTGTGGCTGGACAGTAACCTTTTAGAGATGAAGAATTAATTTCTTTTTTTTTTTTTTTTTTTTGAGACAGAGCCTCAAGCTGTCCCCCTGGGTAGAGTGCCATGGCATTACAGCTCACAGCAACCTCCAACTCCTGGGCTCAAGCGAGTCTCCTGCCTCCGCCTCCCAAGTAGCTGGGACCACAGGCGCCCGCCACAATGCCCAGCCATTTTTTGGTTGCAGCCATCATTGTTGTTTGGCGGGCCAGGCTGGGGATTCGGACCCGCCACCTTAGGTGTATGTGGCTGGCGCCCTAGCCGGTTGAGCCACAGGCGCCGAGCCGAAGAATTAATTTCAAAGCTTGGATTTAAGTGTTCCTGGAGTCCATGGGAGAGGACTTACCGTGTCTTATTGATCAAGTATTTGCTTCAGTAGTTTCTGTATCTGAAAGTGGAAATGGGCTTCTGTTTGCGACTTGATCATGCAGGGAAGGCTGGCCTGAACGCCTGAACGTTTCTTCCCCTTATGCTGGGAGAAAGCCCATAGGGAGGACTCCCATTTGGAGTGGCTGAAAAGACGTTGCCACTTGAGGGCATGTGCTTACAATTCTCAAGACAGCTTCACCCAAGTCGCAGGGAAGGGAGCTGCATGGGGAACCACTTGGAGATGGAGCTTTTTTTCCAAAGGATATAGATTTTTCTGCGGCCCAGGGTAGGCAAGGAAGTCAGATTCACTCTGGGACTTGGAGGGAGGAGGGACTTTTGCTTTATCTGGGGCAAGAGGAAGAAGAGGGTGTCCTACATTCTAGAGAGGAAGGTAGGTTGGCTCCTGTGTGACATGATGCCAAGGAGAAAGGAGGGTAGAAACCAGCAGGGGAAAAGCATGAAGCAGGCACATGGGCTCCAGGACCTATTTATTTATTAATGCAATTTAATTTGGTGTTCTCCTTTTCTGCACTGTAATTCCCACTTGTTATCCTCAAGCCTTCCGGTAAAATTTTGTTCACTACTATGGCTTCATTTTAGCTGTTGGGTCAGATAGTAATTGTGCCCAGTATCAATTCTCATCTTCTGTATTTTTTAATTAAAAAATTTTTTTTTGTTTAAGTCTTTAATCCATTTTGAGTTAATTTTTATATGTGGTGAGAGGTAGAAGTGTGTGTATTTTTTATTTTTTTATCCTAATTTGTCCTCTTGTGCCATGAAGAGCCACCACTATTTTTAAGACAGACCTCCTGAACTGAGGGGTAGATTGCCATGTGTCTGGCCAGACTGCCCTTTCACAGAAAACAGGATTGAGGCTGGGCTCGTGCTTGCCCAGCTAGAGACTACATTTCCCATCTTCCCTTGTAACTACACATGTCATGTGACTGTATTCTGACCAATAGGATGTGAATGGAAGTGATGGGGTCCACTTTTAAATCATGCCACTAAAGGATGGGTAGAGGGGACCGTGTGGGGATGTGTGTGTCTTTCTTTCACTTTTTCTTCCATCCTACTTCCTGGAATGTGACATGGTGGACACCAACTTCAACTGTGCATATAAGGCATCATGGTAGAAATGAAAGAGCACACAATGGAAGGCCCCTGAGACTCTGACGCCATAGACCTGCCCCATCAATGCCAGACTGGTCATGCACACATTGCTACATGGGAGACACATAAAACGGCTGATACTCAGCCGACATGCACAGCTGCAGTCATCCTGGCTACTTATGGACAGTGTTTAGATTGTTTAAAAAAAAATAAACTTCTTTGTTTAAGCCACTGTTGAGGGGGAGTCTCAGCTACAATAACTGAGCCTATATTTTAATTAATCCAGCCATGTTTGGGGGGGCTGGAAAGGAAGAGAGCTGGGTATCACTTCCAGGGCAAGATGGTCTTAGGTACAGGAACAGCAAGTACAAGCAGTTAAAGATGGCAGACAGGGCACTAGAAGCCCTGATGGGAATGGCTCCGCTGGTCCATGGGACATGTGAACAACATTCAGAGATTCTGAGTAATATCCTACAGAAAGAACCTGAAGAAGTTTGGACTTCTTAGCGTCGTGGGGTCCCATTGTTGGATATTAAAGGGGAAGCTGGACATTTGGAGGACAGCTATGGTTATAAACAGGGCCCCATGAATGTTAATTCCCTTCTGAGTCAGACACGGTGGGTTCCTTCCCTACGTGTTCCCTTCCCCCTTCATCTTGGTTGATAGACCTACCCATTATTATAACAGAGCCTGAGAGAGGGAGCTGGCCCTTTTCTAAGCCTCCCTTGCGATAGGGCGTGGGCATGTGACTCAGTCCTGGCCAACGGCACATGAGGCAAAGTCTGTCCAGGAGCTTCTGGGAAAGATTTCCCCCTCTGGTAGAAGATACATAGGGTAGGAATTTTTTCTCAGCAGGCTAAGGTGGAAGAGAAAAGAGATAGAAAGCACCTGGGTCCTCGACAACATCGCTGAGTTGTGGAGCTGTCCCCAGAATGGCCTGTCTCTGAACTTATGTGCAGAGATCATAAATATTTTTACTGTTTAAGCCACTTTGGGTTGAGTTTTTTTGGGGGGGGCAGTTTTGGGCCAGGGGTGGATTTGAACCCGCCACCTCCGGCATATGGGGCTGGTACTCTACTCCTTTGAGCCACAAGCGCCACCCAGGGTTGACTTTTTTGTTACTTGCAGGCAAGGGCATGATAACGGATCCATGGTCTTTGTCTTCTGTCTCTACTTCCTCCAGCCCTGTGGATCTCAAATTTAGTCATGTTCTTTCCCCAAAACACTTGCTTTGGAAGTCAAAGTCTTTTAGAAACCACTGGCGCCATCTTTTTTTTTTTTAGACAGAAGCTCAAGGTGTGGCCATGAATGGAGTGCTGTGGCATCACAGCTCACAGCAACCTCCAACTCTTGGGCTTAAGCAATTCTCTTGCCTCAGCCTCTCAAGTAGCTGGGACGACAGGCGCCTGCCACAATGCCTGGCTATTTTTTTTGGTTGTAGTTGTCAGTGTTGTTTGGCAGGCCTGGGCTTGATTCAAACCTGCCAGCTCGTGTATGTGGCTGGTGCCCTAGTTGCTGAGTGACAGGCACTGAACCCACTGGCGCCATCTTGTTACCACTGTCCTAAATAAGAATGTCCCTGCTCACTCCTTACTTCTTCATTTCAGAAGCAAGAACTGTGCCTAGAAGGGCAAAAGCTGAACTTCAGCCTCCATGCAAATGTCCATTTGGGTATGAATTGATCCTCTTGTTTTGGTCTTAGCAGTCTAAGTGTGTGTCTCTCTCAGCAGACTCTCAGGCCTCAAGGACAGGCACCGCGTAGTACTCATCTTGGGACAACCTCAGGGCCTAATTCAGGACCTGGACAAGAGGAGTTGTTCCCTGAATGCTTGTCAGATGAAGATATGAAAGAGTTAAAGATCCAAATCCCTTTTTATCACCTCCCTGAACAGAGTCAATTTCTCTCCTGATCGCTCTAGGGCAAGACCGTGCTTGCAGAGACAGCCGTGGAAGAAGAGGTTAACCCCATTCTCAGTTCCAAAGCAGCTCATAATCCTTCTCTTCTTAAGTTACCCTTAATCCACCCACTGTCAGCCTCAGCTCCAGTTCAACACCGAGCCGACTCTGACCTGGATCTTCTCAAAACAAGGAAGAAGGAAGGAGAGAGAAAAGGAAGAAAACCGTGTACTGAAATCACTGCAGGAAACGTGGAAGAACTGAAGAGAGAAGTGACTTACTTTGTTTTTTAGAGTCAGAGTCTTACTCTGTCGCCTAGGCTGGAGTGTAGTGGTGCAATCACAGCTCACTGCTATTTCCAAGGCCTGGGCTCCAGTGATTGTTCTGCCTCAGTCTTACAAAGTGTTGGATTACAGGTGTGAGCCACCACACCCAGCCTAAGAGAAGCAATTTAAAGTGGAAATTCTGGGCCAGGCAAGGTGGCTCATGTCTGTAATCCCAGCACTCTGGGAGGCCAAGGTGGGTGGATTACTTGCGCTCACAAGTTAGAGACCAATCTGAGCAAGACTGAGACTCCATCTCTACTAAAAATAGAACAACGGAGGCAAGAGGATCGCTTGAGCCCAAGAATTGGAGGTTGCTGTGACCTATGATGACGCCATGGCACTCTAACCAGGTTATAGCTTGAGACTCTGTCTTAAATAAATAAATAAATAAGACATTCTGTCATGCAGAACTGGAAGTTCTAGTGTTGCAGGTGGAAACTTACTTTTTTTTTTTTTTGAAACAGATCCTCAAGCTGTTGCCCTGGGTAGTGTGACGTAGCATCACAGCTCACAACAACCTCCAACTCCTGGGTTCAAGCGATTCTCCTGCCTCTGCCTACCAAGTAGCTGGGACTACAAGCGCCCGCCACAGTGCCTGGCTGTTTTTTCTTTTTTGGTTGCAGCCATCATTGTTGTTTGGCAGGCCCGGGCTGGATTCGAACCCGCCAGCTCAGGTATACGTGGCTGGCGCCTTAGCTGTTTGAGCCACAGGAGCCAAGCCAGAGGTGGGAACTTTTTATTCTTCTTAATTTTGTCCCTAGTCACAAAGAAAAGTACATATAAAAGAGACACGACTTACTTTTTAGTCTCACCGTGTGTAGTGGTCACTGCTAACATTTTGGTAAGGACGTTTTCACAAGTCCTTTAGTTCTGTCTCATCAGCTCCATCTGCCCCTTCCCCAACCCTTCCCCAATCTCTCTGTCTTTCCCCAGGTCCCTGTCTCTTTGTCTCTTCTTCTATCAAACTTAAAAGTTTCCAGGTTCTTCAGCCTTGGGGGTGGGGTAGGAGGGTCAACTCTCCCTGGAGTAAGCAATCTGTGTGGTGTAATTCCCATCTTTGGAAGCAACTGGAAATCAAGTCTCCTCTCCTTCACAGGAATTTCTGGGAAATCTGAATACATTGTCCTCAAACTCTGCTTGTCACCTGTTTCTTCTTGTTCTCAATTGTGGCTTTGATCCCCTCTCCAGCTTCCTCTTGCTCTTCATGTATCAGGAATGCTTTTGGCTACAGGTAACTCTCAATCTGACTGAGTAGCATGAGCAAATCCGTGTCAGTTACCCCACAGAGCAGGAAGGCTGGCATAGGTCTGCGCTGGCCTGGCTGTGTTGAGGCTCTGTCTGCATCCCCCCAGCCCTTGGGATTCACACCTGCAGCTCTAGCTGAGCTCTTTCTCTGGCCCCAGGAGTGGGCTGAGCTCACATTAGGGCCTGGCCGAGGATGCTAGGGAGTTTATACCTTCAGAAGCAGCTGTCAACTGAGCTGGTGGATACGTACCCTGGTCCCCTGCTCCTCAGGTGGGAAAAATCAGAGGCAGGTCCTTAGCAGTCTCTCAGGGATCCCCAGTGGCAAACTCACTCATCTATGTCCCTTCCCTGTCTCACTATCCCACTCCCCACTGCCACCTCCAAGATCTGCTCTCAAATCAATTATGCGCTCGCATTCAAATCTGGGTCTCAGAGTTGGCTTCTGGAGGAACTCAGAAGAAGACGGGGGACTTCTGGCTTTTCCTTGTGTCTAACTAAAAGCCTTCAAATAGAAATATCTTCTTTGACCAACTGGGAATTAAAACATTTCTGACAACCTTTAAAAGAGTGGTTCGTCCCAACTTCTAATCCTCAAGATACCATAATATCGGGTATCTATCTAGGGCTTCTTTGTGCGAGGCATGTTAGCATGTGCACTAGGGTGACATTGGGGTACACCGCCGAGTCCCTCAGCCTAAGTTCAGAGATCGTTCAGCAGTTGGGGACAGCTGCATCCCCACAGGGCTCACCATGGAGTCATGTCAGCAGAATGGCAGGCCAGCCCACTCCTGCTGCCTGAGGACACCTGAGAAGAGGAAAGACAACATACTTCACCCTTTCTACCCCACCCCCACCCCAAGCTCTTAGTAGCTCCGAGCCACTAGAGTCATGAGTCTGGCTCCAACTGAGTGATATGGAGAGGAAAGGCCTAGAAAAACTTTGAATCATATCTGAGATGGAAGCATTTTCATTTATTTATTTTTATTGTCTTTATTTTTTTTAGAGACAGAGTTTCACTTTGTCACCCTCAATAGAGGGTCATGGCATCATAGCTCACAGCAGCCTCAAATTCTTGGGCTCAAACAATTCTCTTGCCTCAGCCTCAGCTGGGACTACAGGCACCCAATGAGATCTCGCTCTGGCTTGGGCCGGTCTCGAACTCATGAGCTCAGACAATCCACCTGCCTCAGCCTCCCAGAGTGTTAGGATTATAGGCATGAGCCACCACATCTGGCCCGAAGTGTTTTTTTTTTTTTAAGCAAAGTTTTATTG